GTACATAACAGCTGGGTGAAGGTGAGACAGTTTGCTTCCAGACCTTCTAGAAGCAGAGCACCCAAAAAAGGTAAAGGAAGATGAAATCCATCCCCAAGGGAGACTAGGGTATGAGAAGCTGGGGGTGGTTTTGAGGACATTTTCTGAAGTTGTCAGTCTTCTCTTAAAAATTCATTCTATACTGGGTGCTGGTGGCTCATGCCTTGTAATCCTAGATACTCAGGAGGTTGTGATCTGAGGATTGTAGTTCAAAGCCAGCCTGGGAAGTAAAGTCCATGAGATTCTGATCTCCAATTAAACATCAAAACACCAGAAGTAAAGCTGTGACTCAAGTGGTGGAGTGCTAGCCTTGAGCAAAAAAAGCTCAGGGACAGCGCCCTGGCCCTGAATTCAAGCCCAGGAACAAAAAGAAAAAAAAAAAAAGAAAGAAAAGAAAAGAGAAAAAAACATTTGGTGCCATCTGTTTTTGTAACTTAATATTTTTCTTTTTTTATCCAAGAGTAGGACTCAAACTCAGTATCTGACACTTTCTTTTTTTAATGTTTTTCAATGCTCTAAATTTACATTAAGTGATATCTGTGTGCTTGGAGGAAATCTCAAGATTATCTGCAGGGCTTTGAGGCAAGGGAGGTGGGCAGATTTGAGCGTTTCAAGCTCCAGGAAAATGGAGCAGATAGGGCCCTCCTGGGCTGCAGGTAGACTGCTGTCCTCTGGGGAGACCAAGGATTCAGGAGGGGTGGGCTGCCTCCTTTCCAATTGGAATCATAAGCCCATTTATGCTCATAAACTGTCCAGTAGTGCTTCTATGATGGATTTCAAGGTGTTTGAATAATCTTTGGGGGAGGGGAAGGCTTTTCCTTTTCTGTTTTCCCCAAGGACACCAGAACCCAAGGACAAGGACATCTGTAATACCATGAAGGGCCACTGGGGGGAGGAGTGCAGATTTGGTTGGAGCTTCCATATGGGAGTCAAGGTCACTCACTGCATTCCTGGCTGAAATGAGAGTGGAGAGTCAGGGGTTCATTGCTGTGTGTGTGTGCCCAGTGGCCGGTCTTCCTGCCAGAACCATAGCAAAGAGCCAGGCGTAGTCATGGTGGGCCCCAGGGACTCCGGTGTTGCCATCACCGGTCAGGAGAATAGAATTCCTATCATTGTCCACCTGTGGGTACAACAGAGGCTGAACTAAAGGACTTTGGTGGAGGGGACCAGAAGTGGGGACCCAGGCTGTGGCCTTGGGGCCGCCTCCTTCCTCTGCCCCTGGCCACCCCTCTACATGGGCTCAGGTGCTTGAAGCTTCCCTCCGATTGGGCGGGGGAGAGGGGAGCTGAGTTCTGTCTCAACACCATCTTTACGAGCTGAGCCTATTTCATCGTGGTTACTCTACAAGGAACTACAGGATCTCTGGCTTCTTGGGCCAGAAAGAAAACTTGAGGAAAGAGAGTCATGGGCTCAGACATGTTTAGATGGTCAGAGGACACACCACCAAAAAATGTTACCCTTTTTCTCCACCTCAGTTCTAAACCAAAAGGAGACATGAAAGGGACCGAATAGGAGATCAGGGACCTGGCTTAGAGGGGTGGAATAAAGGGATCCTTAAAACCAGACCTCAGACCTGGGCTTACCTACATGGCCCCTGGCGGCTTCTGTGATGACACCCAACCCCTGCCCCACACCTGCGCTTCTGGTGTACTTGAACCTGGAGAAGCTCAGGGCCCCGGCCTCCACTATCAGGGAGACCCGGCAAGGAGCAGACTCAACCCTGTTCATTTAGCCCCTGCCGGGGACGTTCCCCCAGAAGAACGGAGGGTCAGGGATGGACCCGGCCTGATGTGCTGACCCCCGAAGGCCCTCTGAGGAGAGCACAGGGACGCAGCCACTCCCCGTGTCCTCGTGCACAGAGGGTGACCAGCTCCCTGTGGTCTCAGGATTCCGGCTGGGATGGAGATGGGCCTCTGGTCCTGAGGGCTGTCCAGGTTACAGTGTCCTTGTCCCCCCCCCCCCTTCCCCCTGGTGGGGAAATGGCCCAGGCCTCCTGCGAGGTCCCTCCATAAGCAGGATTTTTTCAAAGTTCACTCTTTGGGAGGAGCAGGGGGCGACTGTCCCATTTCATTTTCTGCATCACAGAATCCTGCTTTTCCTGCAAGGACTTACACCTTCTTCAAAGCTCTCCTTGCTCCTGGGAAGAAGTATGGCGCATGCGCAGCTATCCCTAACCCCATCCCAGGGAGCACCTCCTTTCTAACGAGTGGGAGTGGCCTCAGCCTGGCAGTGCCCAGCGGTGAGGAACCCACCCCGCCTGCAGCTCATTAGCCTCTCACTCCCAATGCGCATCTTGGCAGACCCAGAGCAAAGCTGGCACACCCATGTCAGTGCCAGCTCAGTAAGAGTCCAGGCCTGCCTGTGCCCACAGATAGAGAGATGAGAGAAGGGGAACCCCCAGCGGGCTGGCGCAGCCAGTGCCTGGCTTTTGATGGCTCTCCAGGCCCCATAGACGCTGGGAAGAGGAAAGCGGTGCCCAACGGAGGCTTGGATTACCAGTTTCTCTCCCCTACAGAGAGAGAGAGAGAGACGGACAGACAGACAGACATAAATGATTGATAAAGTAAGAAAGACAGGGGGACAAAGGAAGAGAGGATGGAAGGAGAGAGGAGGAGGGGGTGGGGGACATCTGAAGCACAGTGACCCGGCCAGCTGTCTCAGATTGTCTGTCCCCACAGATCGGTGCTCACAGCTCAGGCATCTCTGCATTCATTCACTCCTGTGAAGCGCTTAAGCAGGACTTCTGAAACACAGTCATTGTGATCCTAGCTCTGCAGGTGCCCGGGAGAGTTCTGTCTCACCTCTGTCTGATGCCAGGGACTACGGAGAACCTTTGCACACCCCTCCCCCAGCTCCCCACCCCCACCCCCTTTCACACACAGACGACGCTGAGAACTTCAGCTCTGTGTGTGTGAGCTGGATTTCCTCTCGGTTGGAAAGATTAGCCAGCGGCTCACGGAGGCCTCCAGCTGAGAAGCGTTTGGGTTTGAGTGGATTGTGTTTGCTGTCTTGGCAGAAACCAGGGGGCTTAGAGGACCCAGCCTTGCGGGTCTCTGGTGACCCCTGCCGGAGGTCTGAGGGCCTCTGGGGTGAGGGAGGGGGCCTGAGTTAGAAGAAATGCTTTCACTTTCTTTTCCTATCTGGAAAGGAGGTGGGGCAGAGTCCTCTGTGGCGACCAACTTCCTGCTCTGGGACCGACAGCCACCGTGGACACTGGGAGACGGGAAGGATCAGAGGCCCAGGCCCAGACCCTGGCCCAGGCAGGGCTGGGGGAGGGAAGATGAACGGTGGGGACGATGGTCTCAGCGTCCGGTGAGTCTCTGCCCTTGTCTTCCCGCAGCTCTGAGCTCTGGCGATCTTGTTGTGTTGGATCATGAGTTTAGTTTGTGTCTGGAGCTTTGTTTGCGTTCAGATCTGCTTCACGAAAACGGATCCTGCTCTGTCCTAAGAGACTGGAGAGAGGAAGAGGCTTCAAAAATGGAAGGGGAAAACCAGCCACAAAGCACATAGCTGTTGTTTTGCAGTTAGAACTACACAGCTGTCTGGGAAGTGAGACACTGCGGGACTTGTGGCGAGGATTGCTCAGTTCCTCATTGACCTGTGAAGGCTCTCTGCCCTCTGCCTCTCTTCACCTTCCATAGCTCGCGTCAAAGACAGCAGTTTAGCTCAGAGACGCTAGCCCAGGGTGCTGTGGCTTTACCTGTCCCAGCTGGCTCGGTGGGTACCAGGCTATCCTAGGGCTAGCTCAGACCCCAGCTCTCCCTCCATAGGATCATGTAGGGGAGGGTGTGTGTGTGCCAGGGCTGGACTTGAACTCAGGGCCTGGGAGCTGTCCCTGAGCTTTTGTGCTCAAGGCGAGTACTGTGCCACTTGAGCCACAGCTCCACTTCCAGCTTTTTGGTGGTTAATGAGACTCTTATAGATTTTCCTTCAAACTACAATCCTCAGATCTCAGCCTCCTGAGCTGCTAGGATTACAGGCGTGAACCACTGACCTCCCGGCTTCCTCTATAATAACTTGATCAGAGGAAGACGAAGGCCTTCAACCCAAAAGCCTAGCATTTAAAATTTTTCACTTCTGGGAAGGTGGCTCAGTGGTAGAGTGCTTGCCTTGCATGCATGAGGCCCTGGGTTCAATTCCTTAGCACCATATAAACAGAAAAAGCCAGAAGTGGCGCTGTGGCTCAAGTGGTGGAGTACTTGCCTTGAGCTGAAGAGCTGAGGGACAGCGCCCAGGCCCAGAGTTCAGACCCCACAACCGGAACCAAAAAAAAAAAAAATTCACTTTTGTTTTATTTTTACTTTTAACCAGGGTGGGTTATAGAAATCACAAATTGTAGAAATTCTCTTGTCTCCAATAAGAGGAAATTTAAAATCCAAAAAATTAACATGAATATTTTAATATTTATATAATATAATGCCTTAATATTTATACTAGGGCTTGAACTCAAGACCTTGTGCTCTTGCTTGGCTTTTTCCCTCAAGGCTGGTGCTGTACCACTTGAGCCAGACCTCGACTTCTGGCTTTTTGTGCTGGTTAATTGGAGATGGAGATCTCAGCCTCCTGAGTGGCTAGGATTACAGGTGGGAGCCGGTGCCACCCAGCTTCCTTTCCTTTTGAGAGGGGATTTTTTTTTTTGTCTGATAAGCTTTGTCTTGTCCACCCATCATCCCAGCAATATTTAGATTTTTGTGTAGCATTCAGCACGTCGGGGAGAATCTCAGTCTTTCTTGACTCACTCTTCCAAATCAGCCTGAGTATTGTTTGCCACCTTCAGTGGTTGATCTCTCACCCGTGCACGAGCCTAGGGAAGCTCAGGCCAAACTTTCCACTTGGATACAATATTGTTTACATTTCCTGTCTTACCGGACACTGAACTGTTTCCGTGGGAGCTTCTGTAGTTCGGAAGTTCTGTTCCGATCCTTATTTGTTCTGTGAGCCTCATGGATGGTTCAATAAGGGACCCCACTAGCTGGGGTGTTTATATGCTCTTTCTTCTCTACCATTGGCTGGTGATGGCCTCTCTGTCCAACGCAGCACCACAAACCATACGTGCGAAGTGCTGTCACCATGTGTCACAATGACAGCATCATTTGGGGAAGGATTTCTGGTTGCTGCTTCTGGGTGCATTGGCAAATGTAAGTCTAACTCTAGAGCCAGGCGCTGGTGGCTCAAGTCTGTAATCCTAGCTACTCAGGTTTTTGTTGTTGTTGTTGTTTGTTTGGTTTTGGTTTTTTGTTGGCTCTGGAGCTTGAACTCAGGGCCTGGGAACTTAAGCTTTTTTTGCTCCAGTCTGGTGCTCTATTACTTGAACCACAGATCCCCTTTGGATTTTTTGGTGCTTAATTGGAGATAAAAAAAAGTCTCCTGGACTTTCCTGCCTGGGCTGGCTTTGAATCACAATCCTCCGATCTCAGCCTCTTGAGTAACTAGGATTACAGGCGTGAACCACCTGGCTCTTGTATTTTGCTCAATTTCTCTATAAACCAACAACTTTTTGGTTTTATTGATTTACTATTTTTTGTTTGGGATTCTGTTTTTCTTCACTTATATTTCTCTGTTTTCTTTCTTAGTTCCTTTCACTAGTTTGAAGTGATTGCTCTGTTTTAATGTCTTCTTGCCTTGATTTAAAACTTAATTTTTCAGTACTTCTTTTTTCCTAATGCATGAGTTTTAGGCCATAAATCCTCATCTCTGAGCTACTTGGTTTGTTTGCTTTTTTATAAGTAACAGTTCCATTGGAGTTATTATACTTCTTAACTATTTCTAGTTTTATATTTTGGTTTGCTGTTTAACCTAAGGTGTTTGTAGGTGCCTTCATATTTTCTCAGTGGAGAGAGTGTGGCATCTTCCTTTGCCTTTGGGTTATTTCCTCTATCACATTGTGATTAGAAATGTGTTCCTCAAGAGTTCAGTTATTGGGCGTCTACTGTTACTTCTTTTGCGATTTAATCCTGGTTACTGCTGAGGTGTCTCATGTCTGAAAAACAGTCCAGTGTGTTAACTAGTGTCAGGTAGGGAGGAGCAGGGAAGGTAGAGGGGAGACTCGAAACTTCTAACTTGTTTGGAAGTAGAGATGTGGCTTAAAGCAGTAGAGCACTAATCTTGAGCAGGAAGTCTCAGGGACAGCCCCAGGCCCTGAGTTCAAGCCCCATGACCAAAAAACATTGACTTTTAGCAAGCCATGAAAAAGCTATTGATATCTCTCCATGTCTTCAGTCACCTGATAACAATTTCTAAACTAAAAATTGTAACGATGTTACCTTCCTTTAATGCAGTGAGGTTACATCTGGATGAGTGCAGATCTAGTGAGCACATGGGGTGTAAAAGAGTGGGCTGATTTCCAACCATGAGTAAAGGAAGCTCTGGGAGAGAGCTGCGCTCTCTCTGAACACACAAAGCATAGGGATGTATGTATGCACACAAAGATGTACACGCCACACAGGCTCTCAATACATAACACATATTTCCTACAGTAGACCCTTGGGATCCACTGGTATACAGTTCTTAGGAGACTGCCTTCAAGGGAAAACTGCACATGCTCAGGTTGCACAGAGTTCAGTGCTACACTGTAGTTTCTAGATTCGTTTTTCCCACATTGTCGTCCAACTTCTGCTCAAGACATATCTCCCTTCAACAAATCTAAAACTTTCACCATATCACTTAAATTAAGCACACATTAACGTTGACCTTTCGTTGGGGGCATCATTTGCTTTTGGGGAGTCATAATTCCACAGAATAAGGGCAAGAGAGCCCTTAGCAGATCACATAATGATGTGAAAACTAGTGACAATAATGTGGGCGTGAGAATTTCTCCATATCAATTGAGATGAGCAATTCCCAGAGAAGGCAGGGGAATTTAAACGTTAAAGTCTTTTTGATTAAAAGGAAGTATCATTTGTTACATGGCCAAGTCCATGTGTAATAAATCTGTGAGTAAGGCGGGCTCACTGTATTCCTGTAGAGGTGGCACAGGGCAGGCCGCGCTCAGGTGCATATTTCTGAGCATGTGCAGTTAAGGTCATAGGCACCTGTTTAGGGAAGGAAAGATGGTGGCCACATTTGTGAGCATGAGCAGTTCAATGTCATAGAAAGATGGATGACAGTTGCTACGATTCCAGGTAAGAGCCACCAGTGCTGGCATGTTCTTAAAGTATTTCATGTTTATGCATTTAGATTTTTTCTGCAGTATGGTAAATGTGTCATACTGTATGCTTCTGGGCATGCTCACTTTATATTATGAATTAAGTTTATTTGAGATCATCTAGAAGAATGAGTTGGTGCCCTCAGCCTGGTTCCTGATAGGTGTCTCCAAAGAGTTTTAGCCAAAACCATTGGAAAGAACAAGTATGAGAGGGCGTTTAACAGTCTTTAAAGAAAACATCCCTCCATTTCCTCCATAAATACAGGAGTTTGTCTCATGGTGTCTGCTGGGCTACATTGTCATCCTGGCTTTTCCATATACTTAAAAAAAAATCTTCACCATCTAAAACACCTTTATTTCACTTTCACACTTTCAGGAGTATTTAGATATATTCAGAATAAGGTTCAAAATGATGTCACTGAAACTTTGGACACTTTTCTTCCTTACGGTTTTTCATTCCATGTCTACCATAAAAATTCCAGCTTCAATGAGGTGTTACTCCTCTGTTTGGTTTTACTTTCTAGAAGCTTCATCATATTTTTATTCTTGATGTTCTAGATTTTTATTCTAGAATAAGTAGAAATGGGTTTTGGTCTTCATAAGCTCTCATAGCTCATGTATAATTATGTATAATTTACTTTGGCGGATGCAGAACTTTTAAGTAGAATATATCTAAAATTGAAGAATTGTTTGTCATATTACAGAAATAATCTAAACACAAACATCATAAAATAAGTTAAGAATATACCAGGCACTGGTGGCTCAAACCTGTAATCCTAGCTACTTAGGAGGCTGAGGTCTGAAGGACCAAACCCAGCACAGGCAGAAAAGGCTGACAGACTCCATCTCCAACTAGCCAACAAGAAGCAGAGCTGGAGGCATGGCTCAACAAGTAGAGAGAACCCCAGCTGTGAGCAAGAAAGTTGAAGGGTTGGCTCAAGTGTTGGAGCAAGCACGAGGTCCTAGTTCAAATCCTAGCACCACCATCATCAAAAAAGAAGAAGAAAAAGGAACAGTGACTGAAAGTTCAGGTGCCTCACTGTAATCATATTTTTTCCTTCCCCCCCCCAGTGTTTTGAGGTTTAGTTGTTAAAAAACTGTAAACTTTACTGTGCACAACATGTGAAGTGAGTATACAATCAGTTGACATATTTATTGACTTATGTAGTTACCTTTTTGGTATGGTAAGAATATTTAACAGTACTCTTTTAGAAAATTTCAGTGACATAATGCAAATTGTTATAGTCACTATGCTTATTCATATCCACTATCATATCATCTATTTATTTTTCACGGGAAACTATAGTCTTTGACCAACATCAGTCCATTTCCCTATACCCAGCCCTTGGTGACCACCATTCTATGTTTTGCCATTTTTATATTTCTACAAGTTTTCACATATAAGTGAGATCACACAATATCTGTCTTTTCTCTGGATATAATGCCCTTGAGATTCATCCATGTTGTAGCAAGTAGCACATTTTCCTTTTTTTCCTGACTGGTCAATATTCCATTGTATGTATATATATAAAATATTCATATGTTACATATAATATATTTATGGGTACATCACATATGTGTGTATACATTGACAGATTGCTTCCTTTTTATGCTGTCAGTATTGTGAATAAAGCTACAATGAATGAGGGAAGTATAAATATCTCTTTGATGCACAGATTTTATTTCTTTTCTTTTTTTTTTGCCAGTCTTGGGGCTTGAACTCAGGGCCTATGGACTGTCCCTGAACCTCTTTGTGCTCAAGGCTAGCACTCTACCACTTGTGGCTTTTTCTGAGTAGTTTACTGGAGATAAGACTCTCACAGACTTTTCTGCCCCAGCTGGCTTCAAACCGTGATCCTCAGATCTCAGCCTCCTGAGTAGCTAGGATGACAGGCGTGAGCCACCAGCATCTGAACAGATTTACTTTTGTTTTGAATATATATCCAACTATGGGACTGTTGTGACATATGGTGCTTTTATTATTTTGTGCAACCTCCATACTGTTTTCTATAATCATTGTACTAATTTTCGTTCCCACTGACATTGTACAAGGGTTCCCTCTTCTGCGTATTCTGTGTGACATTTACCATCCTAGCAATAATCTCTTCCAGCCTTTGAAAGTTTGTTTTGACAAGGATCTTCCCCAGTCAGTCCAGTCTGGAGTTCTGGATGGGCTAGCTAGTAGCAGCCACATGAAATAAGGCTTGCTGTTAAGGTCTCTAATTTAACAGTGTCACTGTCCATGCTCTGGGAATGACAGGCGTCGATGACTGGTTTCTGTGGTGAGGAAGCACCGTGGCTGGGCTCTGTGATTGCACAAGCTCTGCTCTGCTATTGAGAAAGGCCAAGTTTGGGCCTTGTAATCAGGCATGGCTCCACCATGTGCTCCATACTTCGGTGGGCTGATGGGAATGGGTTCTCCTTTGGGCTGGGCTTCTGGCCAGTTGGGGTGGGGGGAATCACAGAATCCAGATACTACAGGACCTCAACTGTGTCCCAAAATTGATGCTTTGAGGCAGCTGATCTTAGTCAGATGGTGTCACGTTTCACAGTTGCTGGTCAGTGTCACAGGCTTTGCCACACAGCCAGGTGAGGTCACTGGCTGACTCTGTGGCTGAGCTGGGTTGCAGGCTGTGCTTCTCTGTGGGTCAGGATCATTGACTGGATTCATGCCCAGTCAGTACTGTGGACTACACGAAACATTCAGACAAGATTCTTAAGCCTGGGCCAAATGGGATCGCACACAGTGCTCAACATTTGGGAGGAATTTCCAGGCTGGTTTCCTGCCTGTGCAGGTTGAGTTACAGATTGGGCTCCGAGGATGCACAGATTCACAGTGTGTGCTCTTTGGTCCTAGGGGTCAGAGGCTCCAGAGGGTCAGTGAGGCAAGACATCAGTGTGGTCACCTGTTTAGTCGCTGACAGGGCTCTTGAGCTAGGCAGTGTCACTGTGTGGGGTCTCCGGTCTGTCAAACCAGATCAGCTCCTTTGGCTTGCTGCCCAGGTGAGGCCAGAGGCTGGCTTCTGAGGCTGGGTGGTGGTTGGTATTGGGCTGTTTGGTTGGATAAAGCCAGAACCTGTGCTCTGAAGTCCAGGTAAAGCCAACAGTCTGGCCTAGGCAATAGGCTGGGCTCTGTGTGCTCCTTTGGACTACAGGCTAGGGACACAGCCAGGCAGACATGCTGAACATGCTCACTGCCCCGGGGAGCCACCAGCTCTGCAAGCCCACAGATCTGCCGCTGGAGTCCTGATGGGCGTCATGTGACAGGAGCCCAGCGCCATCCCTGCCCCCTTCTTTGCTTATAGGTGAACTCAGGGACCTAGCTTGCCAATCCCTTCGGTGTACTCCATTAGATAAGACAGAAAAAAGCTTCCCAGAAAGTACCTTGGAATTCTGGAGAGATTGGATGTACCACTTGGGGTCTGTTTTTCCCTCTGGAGAAACCTTAAGCCCAGGGGTACTGTCCCGGCAAGGCCTGTGCTGGTCTGAGGAGCGGCAACGTGGCCCAAGTGAAATTGTCCCTGTGCTCTTCTTTCTTTTTTTTTTTTGTCGGTCATGGGGCTTGAACTCTGGGTGTGGGTGATGTCCCTGAACTCTTCAGCTCAAGGCTTGTGCTCTACCACTTGAGCCATAGCACCACTTCTGGTTTTCGGGTTTATTGGAGATAAGAATCTCACAGACTTTCCTG